ATAAGTTAGTGGGGAATAATGTAGTTGTTTAATATAGTGGGGAACAAAGCATGCAAGTGTGGGGGTGGAAGAATATTTTCGGGTTAGTGGTTCAAGACAAGGGTCTTGCTATAAATAAGAGTCATTTTTGACACAGAGAAAAAAAGAAGAAAAAAGGAAGAAAGGGACTGAATTTGGAGATAGAAATTTCAGAACCAAAAAAAAGATAAAAACAGACTTTTAATCTTGAGAGTGTTCGACTTCGAATCTTAAAAGAACAAAAATCAGAATTATCCCAAAGCCTCTTCTGTCTTTTTGGGTTCATTTTGTCTTGTCTGTGAAAGTTATTGAGGTTTTCGGGTCTTTTCTTGGTTTTCCTAAGTCTGGTTGGTTTTTGGGTTACTGCTCCACCGGTTTGCAAACTCTGTTCCTAGGCTATTACTGTTGCTAGACTGTTGTTGCTGTGCTGTATTGTTACTACTGTTGCTGATTTTCATCTTCCTCTTCTCTTGTATTCAATACCAGGTACATGGTTGTAACCTTGTCGATATTGTAAGCTGAAAATGTGAAAGCATGAATACATATGAAGAATGGAACTTTGAAGTTTTAATTTCGCTTTTTCTTCGTTTCTTTTACTGATTGTATTTAGGCTATTTCATGTATTACTGTTTAATAATTGGAATAAGAGGAAAATAACATAAGTTGGTCTTTAGTGAATCAGCTTGGCAAAACGGGTTAATTCACTAGCTATGAAGGTTTTAATATGGTCAACAGTAGGTTAATCATGAATGGGTAGCTAAATTTAGTTAAGGCCAAACAAGACTAGATAATGTTTAAGTTTAATAAACTTTCTAATAAGCTTTAGTAATTATGGTTAAATCTAGTTTCAAATGGTTGTGAATAATTAATTCCAATAGTTTTTTATATATATAACAATGCGAGCTTCAATCTAGCTATATTTGATTTCTTTTGAATATTAGTTGTCGAATTTCTTATTTTATTTATAATTTCGATTTTTTTTTAGTAAAATTCCTTTCCATTAATATTTGTCTTAACCTAGCAATTAGTATGTTACATTTTCTTAATTTTTTTGAAAGCTCCTAATTAATTAGGATTTTCTTTCTTTATTTTAGAGACTAATTTTAATAGAAAAATGTAGTCATTTTAGGATTGTCCATTAAAAAAAATGCGATGAGCCTCACCTAGTAAAACGTATAGATTGTGGGGCCCTCACAAATGTATGTATTAATTACTTAGAACTCGGGATCGGTCGCTTAGCGAAATTCACGGCTTTTTTCCAAAAATAACCACGCGCTAGTCGTTTTAGGCACGCATTTTAATAATCTTACCTTCTTAAACTCGGGTGTGCATTTCATGCGACCCAAATCCAAATCCCAAAACATTGAATAAAATGTGTTCCGGATTGCGGGTGCATTTCATGTGACGCAATCCAAAGACATGTTTTAAACGATGTTCACATTCTTAAAAATAATAATAATAATAATAATAAAAGCGGCTAAAAGTTAAAATTTGCAAATAAGTTCACAATCGTATAAAAATCAGATATTTAAGCCAAATATGACAGTGGAGCGACCGTGCTAGAACCACGGAACTTGGGAATGCCTAACACCTTCTCCCAGGTTAACAGATTTCCTTATCCGGATTTCTGGTTCGCGGACTATTAATAGAGTCATTCTTTTCCTCGATTCGGGATTAAATCGGTGACTTGGGACACCATAAATCTCCCAAGTGGCGACTCTGAATTAAACAAACAAATCCCGTTTCGATTGTCCTTTAATTGGATAAACTCCCTCTGCGCCCTTATCGGCACGGGTAAAAAGGAGGTGTGACAAGCATAATTTCTCTTTTACTTCCTGAATTCAAGAATAAAGGAAGATATAGTGATGCCATCGAAAAAATGCAAGAAAATTTCAATTTTTTACCCTATTTATTTAATTGGTGTTGTTTTGAACTCTTCTATTAAGATCTCTATTTGTCACCAATTAATCAATGCTTTGTATACCTATACGAAAATTGGACCGACTGAAATCCTGTACATTCATACTTGTATGAGAGATCTAAATGAGCATTTGCAGCAATTATAAATTATTACGCAAACCTGAATGATGCTTCTTCTGTTGTAATAAATATTAATTCGAACATTCCTTATAGTTTTGTTTCTACTTCTGTTTCAATTGAGGAAGATGATGGTGTAGATGGTTTTGCTATTGGTCTACACTATATTTTTACACAACACAATAATAGAAATAATGATGGACATTAATTTTATTTGCAAAAACAGACATAGCCTCGCACATAGGATTTTTTGTCATGGGCATGATAGAAGGATAACACAAAGCCGTTTCCCATTCTTTTCGCATGGCTCGAGACGTACTCAATGTGCCAATTTCAATCATTTCATCACAAAAGCGCATTTAGCCAAATATAAGGCAGCACATATGAGACACATGTCACTCATTGGTAATAGTGTATTTTAGAGAATGGATTAGATCGTAGCAATGAAATTAAGGATGTGAAAATGTAGGTAAATCGGAAAACCAGAAAATTTAAAATATATTCACAATTGATTGCCCATCTGGACTAAACACCCAAAAAAAAGCCAAGTAATTCCTATTGACATGGAAGAACTACAAAAGACAATGAAAAATCTTTATTGAGGAATTTTCAGAAATGACTATTGTTTAGTGGCTATTAATTTGCTATAGCTACCATTTACTTAATTATTTCCTATAACTATATTTTCACTTGTTATAAAGTGTATTCGATGTATTCAAGCTACTGTATTAGAGCTCGGCGTAAAACAAGGAAGTCCAGCTAAACATAGACTGTATTCATATGTATTCGCGAGCTGTATTCGTGAATACAATATCAAAAATCTGCGAAAAAAAGGTCTTCATCTGTTTAAAAACGGTAAGTGAATCAATTAACGCGATAGACTCCTAATATGACTCAACAAACTCAATTATAACACGCAAAATTTGCATTTTCAGTTATAGAAAAGATTCTCAGCCGAAAAACACCTCCAAAACAGAGCAATCTTCAGAGATTCAAAAGACATGGAAGAACTACAAAAGACAATGGAAAATCTTTATTGAGGAATTTTCAGAAATGACTATTGTTTAGTGGTTATTAACTTGCTATAGCTACTATTTACTTAATTACTTCCTATAGCTATATTTTCACTTGTTATAAAGTGTATTCAATGTATTCAAGCTACTGTATTCATGAATACAGTAGCAGAAATTAGTGGAAACAAGAAAGTCCAGCTAAACATAGACTGTATTCATATGTATTCGTGAGCTATATTCGTGAATACAGTAACGAAAATCCACGAAAAAGGCCTTCAACTGTTTAAAAATGGTAAGTGAATCAATTAACGTGATAGACTCCTAATATGACTCAACAAACTCAATTATAACACGCAAAATTTGTATTTTCAATTATAGAAAAGAATCTCAGCCGAAAAACACCCTCAAAATAGAACGATCTTCAGAGATTCAATACATCATTTCTTTTTTAGTGGTATCTTTACTAAAATATTTTTAGTGGTATTTTTTACAAATAGATTATATATTGAAATTATATAATTACATTGAATACAGTTAAATACATACAATACATTGAATACATGAAGTATAACATGTCATCTATAGTGCAAAACATATGAATACATATTGCAGATACATTTGAATATATATATATATATATACACACACACACAGACACACACACATCTGAATGCATAAATTATATTAATTAAAAAAATATGAATACATTCTACAATACATTGAATACATACTGCTGAATATATAATGCTGACAAAATAGTGAAACAAAGTGAAGCTTTGAAATTATATAATTACATTAAATATAGTTAAATACAGTGAATATATTGAAAAAAGTAGAAAAAACTAAAGACAGTAAATACAATGAAATACATGAAATACAGCGAGATACATTGAATACAATGAAAATAAAGTATCTTTTCCCTTAACTCCTGAATCATCATCCATAAGTTTTCTTCTCTTTTCCGTATCAGGAAGTGTAGATTCTTTCGAAGATTTCTCAAATTGGGTTTGTTTCGATGTTGGGTAACCCTCTTGTGAGTTGTTGAATCAGCCATTGGAGATGAAATTTTGAGTTTTTCTGGTGAAAACATAACAATGATGATTATTTCTAAAAAATTAGTAAAGAAAAACAGAAGAAGCAATGTACCAGCAAAAATCTAACGATTTTAACACTTACCACAACTTTTTGGAGCAAAACAATTTGAAAATTTCGCGAGACAATGGAGATGAATTAGTGGAGAATCGTGGTTACATTCATGAAGAAAAGACTGGCGTTGAGAGAGATGGTGGAGAGAGATCGTGGTTTCTGAAGTTGTATACTATATGGTGGTCTTGTGAAAGAAAGAATAGAAAGTAGGATAGAGAAAAATATTACCCGGCTTATTTAATGGCTAAATGGTAGGAAATGACCACAAATACATATTTTGCTATAAAACATAGGTACCTATAGAAAATAATATTTTAAAATGATATTTATTTATAATAAATAAGGTGTAAAGCTTTGTTATAGGAGGTAAAATTTCCATCTTTAAATATAGTGGCCCTGATATGACTAGCCTGGTACCGGAACCAAAACCGACCGAGTGACTTATTTCACGAACTAGCCTGACCCAACAATACATATACTAAAATATACTTCCTTTATTCCAATTGATGTGAACTTATTTATTTTTTAGTCCGTTTAAAAAAAAATGACATTTTCTAAATTTGAAAACAATTTAAATTAAACTTCCAATTCTACCTTTAATGAAAAACTTTTATAACCAATAAATACTCTGAACCCGCTTTTAACTTGTTTAAGACCATAAATTTCAAAAATCTTCATCTTTTCTTAAACTCGGCACCTAGTAAAAAATTGGAACGGAAATGACACAAAATAAACTAGGAATCCCCAAAAATATAAGACTAGAGACCAAGCCTAATTCCCAATTCACCTTGTTTCATCAACCATATTTCTAACAGAAATTGTAAATAGTTACGAAGTTGGTCACAGCAAACTTTCCCTCTCCCTCTCCTACCAATGGCTGACAGTTCTAGTACCACCAGTAGCACTACCGCGTTCGTCGCTGACAGTTCTAGTGCCACCAGCAGCACCGCCGCTTCTACGACGGCAAAGTCACGAGAAACTAGAAGCTGGGCAGACGAAGCCGACGAGATAGATCAAGCCGAGCAGTCTGAAAACGCTAGCGCCGAGACTGAAATTGGATCTCTACAAATTGACGAGTCCAAAAGAGTCAACAACTCCACTCTTGATGATCCAGTAGATTCCAGAATAGAAGCCGTACGCATTTCCTCACTCAATTATAGCTTCATAAGTCGATTTGTTTTACTAGTAATAACTAAATTAGGGTTTAATTAATGAAATATAGGTTACATCTGGCGACACGTTGTACAAATCAGCGAAGAGATTTGAGGATTTGAACTTGTCTCCTGAGTTATTGAAGGGATTATATGTAGAGATGAAGTTTGAGCGACCTAGCAAAATTCAAGAGATTAGTTTACCCATGATTCTTACGCCGCCCTACAAGAATCTTATTGCTCAGGCTCATAATGGCTCTGGTAAAACTACTTGCTTTGTACTTGGAATGTTGAGTCGGGTCGATCCGAAGCTTCGTGCACCTCAAGCTCTCTGTATTTGTCCAACCAGAGAATTGGCTATTCAGGTTTGACATAAATGCTGTTTTTTATTTTCTTTTGGATTTAAGTTATATGCATGACACTGTAATAAACTTTTTACACTAATGTAATCCGTTGCCTGTTAGGTTACTTAACCTTTGTTATAGATAATCAATCAATATCTTTAAATAGAATTGCATGCAATTACCTTTTAAGTGAGCTATTTGTGTAAATATTTTTTACATCGTTTGTGCATGAAACTTAAACTCCTTACTGACTAAGAATTAGGCAGGTAGCGAAGAAATAAAGTTCTTTTTTTTTTTGTTTTTTTTGTTTTCAGTTTCATTAGAATTTCAATCCAGTTTCATTGACCTAGGTAAATCTTTGGGTGCAATATTAATGTTAGCATTGGAGAATTAATTCATAGCAGGATCAATTACTTTATTTTCTAATGAATCAATTTGATTAGCTGAATAAAAAGTTTTGTGCAACCTTATGTGTGTCAGGTTATGCATGTGGTTTAGTTTATATACCTGCTTTGCTACATATCTGTTTCCTTTTTTGAAAGAAAAGTGCTTCTACGCATCTATTTTTTAGAAACTTTTATCATGATGCTTGTAAGATTATGTTTTGTGTGTTCTTGTATATAGTTTTTAAGATGGTTTCATTGATGACGCGAAATCTTCATATTTTATCTGGTTGTTTGCCATCTGGAGTGGTGGTTTAAACTATTTTTTATGGGGAACTAGAATCAAATGCCGAGATAACCGTAGGAAGGATCTTTTTTAACGTTGTTACATTTCAAAGAAAAACTTAATAAGATTCTTCATCATTCAAAAAAGAAACTTGAGAAGGTTTGGTATAAAATGGTGAAAAATGCTGCAGAATATGGAAGTGCTGTTGAAGATGGGGAATTTCACTGGTATAACATCAGAGTTAGCTATCCCAGCAGATGCAGCCAACTACATACCAATTTCAAAGCGGCCACCTGTGTCAGCACAAGTAGTAATTGGCACACCTGGAACTATAAATAAGTGGGTGACAGCAAGGAAACTGGGCATGAGTTGCATGAAGATTCTTGTATTTGATGAAGCGGACCACATGTTGGCAGAGGTAATTGATTCACTATCAGCACTTACGATAGTTCCTTTGATTTTTTCCCTTTTTGTTGTTGCTAATGATTATACATGTATTATTTTTTCTTTTAAAATCAGTTCTCTCTCTTCTTTTTGTGTGTGTATTTGTTGGTGTAAACATTTTGGATATAGCTTTTGGTTTCTTAGATGGATGGTAATGTTGAGCTTAATGAGCTAAATATTTGAATATTAAATTTTCAATCTTCATTTTGGGGGGGGNGTTAGGATAGATTTTCTTAGCCTTATTCTTATTCTAGTCTAATTAGGATTAGTTTTCCTTAACCTTACCAATTTTACTCATTGTAAGGCCTATTTAAAGGGCTTAATATGCTGAAAATAAACATTGGTGATTAGTTTTTCTAAGCTATTGCTTCAAAAACGTGATTTACTTTTTATTTCATTGTTCTTCCTTTATTCAACGCTTCTTGCGGGATTGGGGAACGCGTGGGTGAGGTTTATTTCCATCTTACATTCTTCTAACGTGAGTTTGAAGAACACTTTCGCTAGTTTTGTGAAAAACTTTAGCGGAGTGCTTTTGTTTTTCTCTCTTCTTTGTACTTGAGAGGTGCAAAACCTTGAAAGTACATCAGTCCGGTACCTGCTTTGGGGCCCGACTTATGCGAATTTGCACCGGAAAGTTCCACTTTTTTTTTTGAGGGGGTGGGGGGTCTTAAAGCGCTCCCTACGAAAGTAGGCTCCATTCCCTGAGCTCGAACATGAGACCTATGATGTTTATTGCTGCTGCTATGAATTGTAGTTCAGTTTGTAATAAGAGTCTGAAAAACTTCAGAGGTCACATGCATGGTTGATTCGCTCAAATGGTTGAGCCTTAGAGTAGCACATTGCATTATTACCTATTACAAAAAAAGTGGTTAAATTTTTTTATTACTACTACTAAACTTGCTGATTCTATAATTTTACCAAATATTATTCCTAGGGGTGTCAATGGTTCGGTTCGGCCGGTTATTTTATAAAATTTGTACCATACTAATTTTTCGGTTATTCTATTATGTATAACCAAAATTTAACTTTCTGAAACCATCCCAATTATATCTGTTTCTCTTCGTTATTGGTATGGTTTGGTTAGTTTTCGGTTGTTTTTTAAATGTCATGTAAAAGCTACTAGTCGAAGTAGAATGCAATAACATAAGTACTTTTATAGGACTTCGCAAAACTCTCTAGACATTTTAGGGTGATGAATTAAGAAAATGTGAAAGATGGTCAGAGTATACATCTATCAACCATTCTATAGCAGTGTAAAAGAAACTAAGCAAAGACAAAGTAAATATAAATCACACTAGTGGAAAGATATTAACCAAGCTGGGACTCAAGAGTAAAATCTATAGAAGATTAAATATTCAAAAAGATAAATCTAAATCATACGAAAAGAAGCATATTTAACACATTGTAGTTTTCTACTCATAATCGCTAGAATACCTTGTGTGTTGCTAGTGAATATGCTGGAAATAAGTTAATTTCAATAGGAGGAGCATAATAGGCTTGGGAATTAAGATTTTGAGGTTAATTACTTGTTGGCTTGTAACCGTTTTAATAATTCCAAGGCTCAAGAAAAAATTTAATACTTTATTATTTTTAAACTTAATATATAAATATATTTTCCACATGTAAATTTATTCGGTATGCTTCAGTATTTTTTCAGTTTATTTTCATAAAATAAAAAACCTACCCTAATTATCTACCCCTCCGGGTAGGGGTAAGGTCTGGTACACTATACCCTCCCCAGACCCCACTAGTGGGATTAATACAGGATTATTATTGTTGTTATAAAAAACCTACCCTAATTATCGTAAGGTTATAGATTTATAAAAAAACATACGATCATTAAAAGAAACTTTAAAATCGGTTCGGTGTGGTACGGTTGGGTCGGTTTAGAAATATCCATTGATACCCCTAATTATTCCTTTACCGAGGTTTTTGTGCCACATCAACAAGGATGACATATTTTGAAGATTACACTCAACTGGAAGACTTAATAGATAATACCTGCTCTCCCCAATAAACTAATGCTGTGCTATGCTAGAAGTGAGAACTTAGTTACAGTGTCAAATTGGAGAGCAAGGATAAATGATGTGCTGTGGTGGTAAAAGTGAAATATTAGTTACTGGACTGAACTATAGGGTAAGGTCCATGGCTTATCTATACTAGGGATACATAGGTTAAAAGTTATCTTATCGACTACACATACCTCAAAGGAAAAGAGATACTTTTGCATAGCATACACGAGTGTAGCATATCAGAATTACAAATCAAATTGACACTTATTTTCTTTTAAATCACGGTGGTGTCCGGACAGCTCATTTGCACCTCTACTGATTCACTAGGTACTGCTCCCTCCTACCTACACAGGTACCATGTAAATCTTTCTACCAAAGGCTTAGATAGATGGGAAGAAACCACCTTGGTTTTTAGGCTACTAGGGTTTAAACCCATGTCTCCCATGGTCCGTTCTAGCTTCATGGACTGCTAAGTCACACCCTTATCAAATTGACATTATTTTGACATGGAAAATTCAAGTACTTAATATACTCTCGAGAAATTCAATAACTACATGAAAGATATAATCAGTCAGTCAATATTTGTTGCTCACAAGTAATAGGGTAGCAAGCATTATTTGTGTCGAGTTGTTGGTGTAGTTTTCACTAGTGTGTATCTTTCATTACATCCTCCGGAAATAGGGCATATAAAGCATGCAAAAGGGGAACGACTTTAGAGCAATTGAGGAGTATAAGTATAGACCCTTAAACCAAGCTGTTGCATGGATAATAGAAGAGAAGAAGAAGATGAGGGAAAATAGAAGAGGACAAGAGACTGAAAGGCGGATGGGGATTTACTGCATACTTTAAGAAGGGTAAAGTTTAGCACCCAAGGAGCGTTAATGATGGATTCTTTTTGTTTTTTTCTTTTTGGGGTGGGGGATTTACTTACCTGTTAACTGGGTAAGTTTTGCATTTCACAAGTCTCAGTTTTTCTCATTCTTTTGTGGATAAATTTTTAGTATTTTATAGATGTAACTTTTTATTTCATTATTTTATTGGGAAAAAATCTTGGTACAGGATATCACTGTTAAAGATTGTTTTTCTTATTGGGCATGTAATAACACTGTCAGTCCCAGAACCTTGGAAGTGTGAAGCTCGAATCTTAGCATTTCTATTATGTGTTTTACTTGTATGTTTTACATATGTAGTTGAAGCCTGGTTTTGTGTGTGTGTACATGTGTATGCCATTGGTGGGAAGGAAGANGTTAGTTTAATATCAATAGATGAATAGAGTTGTCAACACCAAGAAAAAGCAGTTCAGAAATGAGGGCGAATATTGTAATGAATTTGATACGAGTCAGCCACTCTCTCAGTGGAGATAATAAGCTGCATACAAGCTGATGTTATCTATGCCCTTCATGGAGGTTGCCAGGTTCCACGTTCCAAAACTGACCAGTTAGTAATTATTTCTTTGCTTTGAAGTACAACTGATAATATACATTGCACTTGCAGCTGCAAAATAAAAAAGAGAAGCAAAATCCCTTTGTCTTTATCTCACTTGTAAAAAGGAATAGCGTCTGCCGCATGTTTCCTTCTTATTTACGCCATGGGAACTAGAATACTGCTTCTAGCAATGTCTAACTTCACCTTCCTCATTTAGTGAGTAACTGAGTATAGTCTGAGGCTTAAATTAAAGTGCAATTCATGGAGCTGGTTAACACCTGAGTTTATCTTAGGTAAGAAAGTGATGGGATGTGAAGGGCGGCGGCGTCTGCGCTAAGTTTTTGTTTATAATACATTCTTCTTGCTAAACTTCCATCATCGGGCTATTCTTTAGAAAAAAAAATTTGATGTTAAAATTTACCTTATCATTTTTTTTAATTTTAAATATTTGACTTTTCATTTTTAAGACAAGAGGGGTTGCTCTGATGGTAAGCAACCCCCGCTTCCAACCGAGAGGTTGTGAGTTCGAGTCTCCCCAAGAGCAAGGTGGGAAGTTCTTGGAGGGAAGGATGCCGGGGGTCTATTTGGAAACAGTCTCTCTACCCTAGGGTAGGGGTAAGGTCTGCGTACACACTACCCTCCCCAGACCCCACTAAGTGGGATTATACTGGGTTGTTGTTGTTGTTGTTGTGACTTTTCTTTTTTATCATTTTAATTTTTAGGTGCTTTTGTTTTCTGCAACGTTTGGGGAAAGTGTCAAATCATTTGTGACAAAAATTGTTAGAGATCTTTTCGTGAAAGATTATAACCAGATGTTTGTGAAGAAAGAAGAACTTTCGCTGGATTCAGTGAAGCAGTATAAAGTGCAGTGTCCGGATGAACTTTCAAAAGTCATGGTGATTAAAGACAAAATTCTTGAACTAGGACAGAAGGTGGGGCAAACAATTATATTTGTTCGTACAAGAAACAGTGCGAGTATGTTGCATAAATCATTGGTGGACTATGGCTATGAAGTGACAACAATTCAAGGGGCTCTTAAGCAAGAAGATAGAGACAAAATAATCAAGGAGTTCAAAGAAGGATTGACACAAGTTCTTATATCAACTGATCTTCTTGCTCGTGGATTTGATCAATCGCAGGTAACTTTAGATTTTAATCTTCCCAGTTGTCAGCCATATATGATATAAAATTAAGGTTCTTTTGNATCATATATGATATAAAATTAAGGTTCTTCGTGTAACTTCTTTCATAGCAATGATGTTTTATTTATGTAAATGCTTTCTTGATTTCTGTTTTGGTGGCTAACATTTTGAATTCCTAAAAGCTACTACAAAATGTATGCAGGTTAATTTAGTGGTTAATTATGATCTCCCTGTAAGACATGAGAGTCCATCAGAGCCAGATCATGAGGTATACTTGCATCGGATTGGTAGAGCAGGGCGTTTTGGCCGCAAAGGTAATATGTTTCCACTTTTTTATGCATCTTCCCTGCTCTTGTTTGTCTCTCTCGGCGTATTTATCATTCTGTATCACTTACATATTATTTATATAGAGTTATTTTAGAGACCTCCATGCACTAACTTCCCTTGTGGTTTATGATATTGCCGTTACCTCCCTTATTTTGATTTTCTTGTAACAATTCTTTAAATCTTTTTGTCATTAAATTTAAATAAAATACGATTGACAGATTGCCCTTTCTTAATATTAAACTCTTCCAATTAATTAATTCAATGAAATTATCTTAATTGACAAGTTCGTTTGAAATAAAAAAAAATGCAATCTATACTTAGCTTCTCCAGCCGTTAATATTTGGGTTGTTTTCTTTTATAATAATGTAGAAGAAGAGTCTTTGGTCTTGGGATTTGGGGACGTTGTAATCCTCTTGCAAGGAAACATTATGTAGAGTGATTCTTCCGCTCTTGGTTCCCATCCCTTTTAACTTTGGAAAATATGGTTTTCTATCTTCTTTATGTCTCGATAAAGTTTGGTTATTTTCTTTTGCTAAATCTTGATTGGAACTCTCATTGGTAATACTTCAATGAATATGCCTATCCATAATTTCTGAAATGGGTGAATTTTGTGCTACTGGGCATGTTCATGTTCTGGATAATATTGAAGTATGAAGATTCCTTCATTTGTGGGTGGCCTTGATGGTAGTAGTTCAGAACACCGAAGAACTAGCCTAGGGTATTAGGAGTATGTTTTTCTAATTCTATGAGAAATTAAAGAAAAGATATTTATAACATTAATCAAACAAGTTTAATATTAAAAAGGGTAAATTGGTCACATTGTAATTAGTTTGTATTAATGATAAATAGTTTAAAACAGCAACAACAACAAAACAACCCAGAGAATCACAATTGTTACGAAAATGAAAATAAGGGAGGCAAACTTAATATCGCAAACTCTAAGGGAGGTTAGTATGATGAAGCAAAACCTCGAAGGAGTCTCTAAATTATCCCATTTTATATTATGTTATGATACTAGCAAAAGAGAGTATGTACAGTATCTATCACAGAAAAGAGTATGTACAGTGTCCGTCATAGAAAAGGGAGTATGTACAGTTTCCGTGGTGCATTTCTCGAGAGCATTAAAAAATATACTGATATGAACGAAGATGAAGAAATAAAGGAAATCTACTTGAAAATAATGGCAAATTCATAATAACCAACAGACAAACTTTTAGCCTGCAAGTACTGAGACGTACGGTCTTGAAAAGGGGAGTTTAGTCTTAAGCATTAATTGAAAGGTTGTAATCCTTGTAGGAGTTCACAATGAAATCCCCTTAAGAACCGAGATATACATAGGGAAGAAGCACTTCAACTTTCTCAAAAAAAAAAAGCACTTCAAAATATGTATTCTGAAAATTTCTAGAATGCTCTTGTTAGCATGAAAATTCTCAAGTTTTCCAATTAAAAAAAAAATCATTTTGTATGTACTCGAGAAAAAAGTCCACTATAACATGAATACAAATTTTTATTCTGAATATTTATAGACTGCTTTTGTTAGTATGAAAATTCTCTAGTTTTCCAATTAAAAAATCGTTCTTTATGTACTCGCAAAGAAAGTCCACTGCGACATGAAAACAAGTATTTATTCCTTAACATACTCTTCTTTTTTTCCTTTCTTTTTTAGTAGTGCTCGAATTTCCATTTAAAATTCTAGTGCTTAACATTATAGTAGGATCGTAGAGATAAGACCATCAGTAACGCGCTTCCAAGCACAGTGTGAAAAGACCATAACCAACGGGAAGTGAGGCTTAGTGTCAAGCAAAAGAAATGCTGGACTGTAAGTGCATAAATTAGTGCCAGAGTAAGGCGTTTACCATGTGACATAGGAGCAGCATTGGTTCTCTGTAGATTGTCGGCTTCCCATGAAAGAAAAAACCTTCTTAATATGTGGCGAACTGCAATAGATCAACATTTGCAAAATAAATGTTCTCTTCCGTAGTTCTGTAATAGCCAATGGTTATGGTGTCTGCTTGAAGTGAAGGACTAAGCTTTAGGATCTGAAAGGAAGGGTCAATAACCTATCCAAATACAGAGTTCACTCTACAAGATAGAATCTAGTAGTTTTCTTTTCTCATTAGGAGATGAGGAACCAAATGGATAATGCAATGTGCAAACCCTTTTGCTGAGTGCTCATTGTTAAAGGGATGACTGGATATATATTTGTTGCCTGCAGGAAAATAAATTAAGAGAGAACAGATAAGAGACAAATTTGTGCTAATTCCTTTGGTATTAGAATACAATTGAAATGAGCCATGTATAAATATTACCTAGTTTATGTAACATGCTTAATATGACTTCCCTTTTGTGTTGAGCAGGTGCCATATTCAACTTGCTCTGCGATGACCAAGACAACATGCTGATGTCAAAGATTGAGAACCATTTCAATAGTCAAGTGACTGAGGCATGTATCTACTGTTTGTGTTACTGCATTTCGGGCTTTGCTCTGTGACCATTTGGGATTCTGCCTACGATTTTTGTACGGTTAGGTCATACCTGCTTAAAGGTGCTTAGCATGCTCCGCTTATGTTCATGGTTTTCTGAACTAAGGCTGGAATTCTAGTACTCCCCCTCTCCCAATTTATGTGTCATACTTTCCTTTTTAGTCTGTTTCAAAAAGAATGTCATACCTCCTTATTTAAAAATAATTCAACTTTAAACTTCCCCTTTTATCCTTGATGAGATAATTTAAAGCCACACAAAATTTCTAAAGTTTGTTTTAGACCATAAGTTTCAAAAGTCTTCTTTTCTTTTTTAAACTCCTGCGCAGTCAAACACCGCCATATAAATTGGGACGGAAGGAGTAACATGATTAACTAATAAACAGGGTTGGCAAATTTGTGGCCTGAAAATAGTTTGAGAGTATATTATCCCTCTTAATTCAAGAGATTGAAAAACCTATCCCTTAGAATTTCCCTGCTTTATGTGTGTGTGTGGGGTGGTTTCTTCTTTTTTTTTTTTTTTTTTCCGGGAGGGTTGGGGGTTGCAAATTCACTATTGTAAAAGCTAAGTGTTCTTCCAGTATGATACATTTCCAAGTGATCTGTGTGTGCAGATTCAATTCAAGATAAAGGCAAGATGAATAAAGCATTTAGCATTATGGTCAAATGCAACATTTGTAGTATGCTATTCACCAAAAAGAAAAAAAAAACTGGCCACTTTCTCATAAAAAAAAAAGAAGGGAAAAGAAACATCTTCCAGGGAAAAAGGGTATAGAGTATTTTTCTTAATTTGATAAGGTGTTCAAGAGTTGCTCTATTTGGGGGGTGGGGGTGGGGGGGTTCCCATTTTTTGTTTTAGAGAATTGTTTTGTATGATATACATTGCTGTGATCTTCATATTATGTAAAACAAGATAGTAGATTATAAACTCTGGTCAAAATAGTGGTCAATCACTATTTTATATTACAGAGATGCCATTCCAAATTTTCCCTTCCTGAATATTTGGCAATTTAGGTTTTGATTCCATGAATTTGGATTTTAGGATAATTCAATACAACTGGGTTATGTCTTTACAATGAACATGGCTTGTCATGACTTGTATGACCCATTGTGTCACAACTACTTTCTTATGGCATCTTGAGTGCTGCTTGAGAAAATATATACCTTGCTTATGAGATATGGCATGGTAAACTTCAGAGATAATTTTTCTCTATAGTAGAATGCCAACATAGTTGAGCTTTAACTGCTTGAATTATTTTTCAGTTTTGGTATAATTCCCCATGTCCTTGGCCATGGGCAAAACGTTAAACTCAGGTTGGTTGTTTCATGTTCGTTATGCAGATCGCCTCATGGAAAAGTGAGGAGGATTTTGAGAATGCTCTGAAGAAAGCTGGCTTGCTCTAAGTTGAGTAGAATGTACCTTTTGTTGGTTAACAGATCTCAGGAGGTGGATGCACTATCTGTAAATTGATGGCATGTATTTAGCTATTTGGTCTTGTCAGGGTGATTTTTCTTCCTGTCTTGGTAAATATGTTCTATTTTTTTTTTCTCCTTAACAATTTTGAGTAAAACAGACTGGTAATGCTTGGAAATGGCTTTTGTACTGTTGAAACATCATAGGCCTAGAGTGCTCCTGAAATGCAGAGGTTATCATTGTTCATAATTGATTGCTGTCAGGTTCACTTTCTATTTTCAATTTGGCGGTTCAACAAGCTTTATCTGATGTAAAGAGAATGTACATTGCAAATAATGCAAGTCAAGTAGGTATCTTCAGTGGTTGAATCCTGCCTTGTCAGAAGACTTTGGAGTTGGAGAAAGACTCCACTGTCTTTTCTGTTTGTGAGGGTAAATGATCTGTGAGTGACCTAGAGGCTGAGCCAGGTTTCCAAGATTTGAAGCTTATGTGTTCGTTCTATTCTGCATATGGAATTAGAACCGGGCAAACCCATGATCGTGATTTGATCATCATTAAGTGGTGAGAAAGAAATTTTATTCTTTTTTAAGTTGCTAGATTCTAAATTAATAATTTGTATATATTGAAATAATTTTTTGAGACAAATACACGAGTTGAATCAAAGCTACTGGTTCAGCTGACACTGTAGCTCGGTCCCCATGTCTAACAGCTTTTTCTATTTTTCTATTCGGACTCGCACTTTTAAGGAATTTATTCTTTTGGCCAGATATGTAACAAGCTTGCTCGGAACTCCATTTTTTCTACTGTTGCTATAGTTCTATGTTTTAAGATGTATATTTTGCTCTTTCACCGAATACTCTGCAATAGTAAGGTAAAAATTGTATTGGGCGCCCCTTTTTAACCTGTAGTTGTTTTGTCTTTCTGTTTGCACTCGTACCTGTTTTTTGTTAAAAGCCTTTTAAAAAGACTATTTTGTCCTTTTTCATTAAAAGATTACTTTCTCTCCAAGTATACGCTAGTCCTTTACTGTCTCTCTCTCTCTCGTTATTCGCGTTTTTTGATTTGTTCTTTTCTGAAATCAAAGGGTTTTCGTCGTTTTGACTTTTCAACTGCTATTCGTCGTTGTTCCCACATTACGATTTAATCACAGGTACATTGCATTAATTTTCTAGGTTTTATTTTATGATTTTCTAGGTTTTTTTTCTGGTTTTGGTTTTGATAGTCATGTATTTATGATTAAATAGTTTCTTAGTGTTTAGTTTGATAAGTGCATTAGTTTTACTTTTACGATTGTGTTTTTAGGTTTTTTGAACGAGTTTTTATGTTGTTGATGAAAATTTTATAAATTCTTCAGTGATTAGACGTCCAAATTTTAAAAAATTTTGAGAGTTAAATAGATGATACTATTAAAGTGATGATACCTTAGATAGGAGCTGAAGTTTTTTTCCCCATGTTTTGACATTATTTTTGGATTTGAATTTGTGTTTTGTTTTTTTGTAAAAACTAGAGCATGGGGCTGAATGTTTTGTGTTTTGTAACTGGTGAGTTGAAGTTTTTGTGTTTTGTTACAGGTGAACTTCAGCTCTAGAGCTGAAGGTTTTGTTTTTGTAATCGAACTTCAGCTCTAGAGCTGAAATTTTTGTTTTTATAACGGGTGAACTTCAACTCTAGAGTTTTATTTTGTAACTGTCGAACTTCAGCCTTCTTAGAGATTGAAGTTTTAACTGATCTTTTTGATAATGTCTTGATGTTATTTTTTGTACGTTTTACTTTTTTTGAACAGATGGCACCTAAAGCACCTAAAGATCCTAATGCAGCTAAAGTACGCGAAGCAGCTAATGCACCTAAAGCACTTAAAGCACCTAGACTACCTGTAATACCCCCAGGTCCTTATGTCCCTGCTCCTCCACCTACAAGACCAGGTTAAAGATATTTGAGTTTCGAGATTGGTTTAACTCTAAGGGTTACTGGAAGGGAAACCACGATTTGAAGAAATTAATGCAACTTTCTTGACTCCTACACAACGGGATAAGCTTCATAATGGTATATTTCGATACATTATGGCTATGGAGAATTTCAAATGCAGCATGAAGTTGGTTCATTGTCTGTGTCTTTCTCGAATATTCACGAATGATCGAGACTCGATTAGTTTCAAGATTTTTGGCCATGATGTTTCCTTCACCCTTGAAGACTTTCACATTATGTGTGGTTTGCGGATCACAACACATAATGTTGAAAAACCAATTAATCGAGAGAGCAATATTCTGAAGCGCTATTTTGGTAAGTTCAAGGGTGTGACTTTGAAGGATATTCGAGATTTTATGACTCAGAATGAAATTCCAAAGAATGCTGTGAATCACATACACGTATGCGAGAGCGATGATGATACTGTGAAACTTATGGAAATTCTTGTTGTAGATTTATTTTGTTTGGGAAAAAGACCGAGTCATCTGTGATGGAGGAGTATACATCTATTGTTGAAGATGATAAGGTTTGTGCTGAATATCCTTGGGGTAATGTGGCTTATGAGAAGCTCATTTACTCACTGAAACATGCATTGGACAAGCAGAACAAATTCCATGCAACTGAGTATAAACTTGGTGGATTTCCTTATCAATTATGTGCTTGGTTCTATGAGCGCTTCCCAAATATTCGGGAGAAGTATATAAGAGAGGATGAGTACCTTGATACCCCTCAGGTTCCCAGGATGTTACGTTATGTATGTGTGGAAGACCCTAAATTTCCCGAACTTCTTGAGATGTTCAGTAGTCATGAAGTAAGTTACTTTTTTTTTGTCTTTGTGTTAATATGTTGACGTATTAGTTTTCTTCTTCTCATAATATACTTTTTTGTATTAAACAGAAATATCGCAGCTTTAGGATATTGGATATAATTCCTACAAAAGAGGAATTGAATTCAATGCCTTTAATTGGCCAATTACCATGCAACCGGATTCGTTCAAAGGTACTTAACGCGGGTCCTTCAACTGGTGAATCACCATGTACTCTGAGTTGATCAAAAGAATCGAATCGAACTCCTGTTATTGGTGAATCACCACGTAGTCGGAGTCGATCAAAAGAAGCGAATCGAACTCCTTTTATTGGCGAATCATCTCGTACCCAAAGTCGTTCTAACCGTTCTACAAGTGACTTTGATGACAATGAATTACTCGACACAATATGTTCTGTAAGTTTTGATCTGAAGTTTTTTGGTTTTGTGTTTTGTAAAAGTACAACATGTTTGAGCTGAAGTTTTGTTCTATATTTGAATTTTTGTTGTGTGTCTATTCTAGAGATTAATGATGGAGGTTCAAAGGCATGCAGAAAAAGAAAGAAGCACAATCGTGAAAGAAGTTTTTGATAAGTTTAAAAAGGAGGAGCGATCTGCTTTTGTGGATGCAGTTTTTGTAAAAGTGAAGGTAAGCTAATTTATAGAGAAGTCTTTTTATATCTGCTGATGTTATTCAGATTAATCATTGTTAGTAATTTTTTCTCTAGGAATATTTCGATGAGAAGTTTGAACAGTTGTTTAAGATTGTCAACAAATCAAATGGAATGGACGATGGCAATTTTGATTTGAGTAACCATCGAGAATATGATAGGGGGAACGACTGTTACGAACATCCATCGGATATTAATGTTGTTGATGATGCATTAGATAAAGTCGCAGATGTAAATGCTACACGTGAGGAAACAACTTTTGTAGGCGATCAACATGTTCAAGAACAATTTGAAGAGGAACGTCCCAGTGCTGATAGATTGAGCAGAGATGGAAATGATGAAGCACAGTTATCAACTGAGAATATTGGAAGCAAGCAAGGTGCATATAATCAAGTTGTTGAGACTGAAGAACATAATGCTCATGATGCATTGTGTAAAGTCGCAGATGATAATGCTACACATAAGAAAGCGGCTGTTAAAGGCGATGAACATGCTCAACAACAAGGTGGAGAGGAACAATCCAATGTTTGTAGACAGAGTAAAGATGGAAATGATGAAGAGTTAACAACTGAGAAAGGATCAGATGATCAAGTTGTTGGCACTGAAAAACATGCACCGAGTTGTCCTTTGGTAAGTGATATTGAAAAAGGCAATTTGTTTGGCGATGGAGATCAAGCACATGCTGTACTTTAGAACTGAAAGCGAGTGATGTGTCTAGCACTATTGGGAAAGACGATCAGTATGCAGTATTACTAGCTATTTGCAAAGAACTTCTAGGTGGTGATACACAGGAAATTGTTACTACAGGTACAAAGTGTGAAGTTTATAATATTTCAATGATACCTTAGATTGGAGCTGAAGTTTTGTTTCATGTGTTTGTGTTTTTTGTAAAAATTACAGCATGTTTTTTTGCTGAATGTTTTGTTTTGTAACTGGTGAACTTTAGCTCTAGAGCTGAAGTTTTCATTTTTGTAATTGTCGAACTTCAGCTCTAGAGCTGAAGTTTGTTTTTTTGTAACTGTCGAGATTTTAGTTTGTGACTATCTAACTTCAGCCTTCTTAGAGTTGAAGTTTTAACTGTTTTTTATAATATCCTGCAGTGAAATTTTCACTACAGGTATAAATATTTTCTATGTTATATATATAGAAAAACTAGTTGATATATTCACCCTCTTTATGAATATGCAGTGGAAGTTGAAACTAGTTGTGCTTCAATTGACACAACTCAAAAACTCTCTGATGATGCTGAATTGAATGAAGGTATAGTTGAGAAAAACCTTCCAGAGAATACTCCAATTCTCCTCGACGTTGGTTCACAATTGAATGAAGCTGTAAATGCTGATATTGACAAAGGCATTGACAAAGGCATGTAGCCTGGGGAAACCACAGCGGAAGACAAACGTCAAGGTATTCTATAGATCATGAATTTATTATATTTGATTGAAGTATATTTTTTACAGTTTGAAATTTTACATACTTTATTTTCTTTCTTATGTTTTTGAATGATTTTTCAGAAAGACTCGAGACAACTCAAAAAGAATTTGGTGAGCTTATGCAGCTATATGAAAAAGGAGAAATACATATATTCACACATGTTGCCTCACAGAAAGGTGTGAAGTGTGTTGGTATTATTTTATAAAATTTAGTTAGTATTATTTAGTATTTTTTGCATGAAGATACAGGATCTGTTGGAATGCAAACACCATATGTGTCGCAACACTTAGACCAAATAGTTATTTTCTGCAATTCAATTACAAGCTATTTTTTTGCTTAATGTGTGTTTTCTATCAGTTTTATTTATGTTTATATTTTCCTTGCTTTTGCAGATCTCATCTGATGCATCGGAACTTCTTCCAAAACCTAAGAGAAGGAAGATTTCCAGTTCTCCTTTGTGTGACACCAGTGATATCCCCAACTTCAATTTATGTTCATTTTCACTTGGTAGTACACAAGGGACTGATTCAGAAGGTAATTCTGCTGCTGTTGTTGTTCGTGAAGAGACACAAGAATGTCGTCAACAGTAGGGAGTTGGTCAAGCATCTGGCACGATGGCTGTAGGTTTTCCCCCTGCTGCTGAACAACAGCAGTTAGTTGTGACGGAACAGCAAGAAGAGCAAGCAAAAAGAAAACCAGATAAAAAAGGAAAAAGGATTCGTATGGAGAGTATTTGGTTGAGATCTCCTTATGTAGTTTATCAAAAAAAAGCAAAGGGGGCAAGATTGGAAAGTAGGAAAGAATACAAGAAGGTGTCCCTTCCATTATGTTAATCAAGATAATGGATTGATCGAAAGATTTACATAGTGGTTGGAGATGGATGCCAGTGAATATGATTCCAATCGATTCAGATTAGCTGGATTTAATATTGCAAAATCATTCTTTACCAAGCTTATGGATCCTGACTCTGATCTTGCGATGAAGTAAGTTATTAAGTTTGTTTTTTGAATTGGTTTTCAACTGTATTTCCCAAAACTTCAGCTTATTTTTTATAGTAAAGTTTTTGCACTGTAATTTGGAAAACTTCAGCTTTATTCATAGTAAAGTGCTGAAGTTTTTTAGCTTATTTGCTAAAACTTCAACCTAACACTTCAAACTGAATATGCTTAAGTTTTTGTCATGCTGTTTGTAGTTTTGTAGTGAGTTTTTTCTAAACTTCATAGTGGTAATTTCACATGTTATCATTTGTTGTTGTTCATTTGCAGCATATTGATGTGGGCATATATTACTTGCGCAAAAAATATTGCTATCACCTTCCACGTTATCCAAAATCAAGATGTGCCGTAACAGATTTACTTTTCGATCAATATATGACTAAGCTGGATGGTATTCATCCTTCAGAAGAAAAGATGAAGATAATTAACAAAAGAAAGCAAAAGAGAATGCATGATCAAAAAAGAGCAAATCAAAGAGAAAGAGGATATCCAAACAACAGGCTGAAGAAGAAGAAGAAGAAGAAGAAGCGATATTCAGCCACTTACGAACTTTAGTTGGTTTGAGGAAGAATCAACGAATGAAAAGGTGGCCAACTACGTAAAAGGCCTCGACCTTTCCTGTGGTATCTCATGGGCATCTGCTAGAAAAGTATTCTTTCCATTTCGACTTAAGCCAAGGACGGGCCAGACATCTACACACTATTTTTTTGGAATTTTGGACTTTAAAGATAAAATTATATATGTGTATGATTCCATGGGCAGTGTAACATACGATCGTGCGCTTGAACATGTCAGAATTTATGCCCGGTTGATCCCACACTGTCTCAAATGCTTGGATTTTGGGGCACACAATAAATTTTATGGGGAAAGTCCTGTGGAAAAATTTCAAATTATGTGGATGAAGACACCGCAAGACTAACAAGTACGTGTTTCGCATATGTTTTACCATGCATCTTATGTTTATTATTTTTTGCCCTTGTGTTAACTATTCTTCAATTTCTTTTTTCATGTGTTTTTTGTAGTGTTGATTGTGGTATATTTGCTCTTAAGTTTATTGATATGCGGTTGAAGAAAGAAGATGTCTTCAATTTCGATCAAAGTCAGTCATTGACATTCAGGAGAGAATTGGCTGCCAATCTTTGGGCTCATGGAAAGTGGAAAAAGAATAGCGGCTATGAAACTCCAGAAGAACAAGAAAGACATGATTATGGAGATTTTGAAGAGACTCTCTGTGAATTTTTTGATTAGAGGATTGGTTGAACATAATTTGGATTTTATGAATATACATTAATTATTTTTTTAGTTCACTTTTGTGTCATACAAATATGTTTGTGTCTTTTATCATGAATTTTAAGTACATTTTTGTTTGAAAAAACTTAAGCATGAAGTAAATGACTTCTGCTTTTTAAGCTGAAGTTTTGGTTAAAAGTCATAACAAAACTATTGAATCCAACACAAAAACTTCAGCTTATCGGGTGCTGAAGTTTTTAGAAATATACTAAAAAACTTTAGCACATTGGGCCGAAGATTTTTGAAAAAGCTTTACGACAAAAACTATTGAATCCAACACAAAAACTTCAGCTTATCACGTGCTGAAGTCTTTAGAAATATACTAAAAAACTTCAGCACATTGAGCCAAAGTTTTTTGAAAAAGATTTACGACAAAAACTATTGAATCCAATACAAAAACTTTAGCTTATCGGGTGCTGAAGTCTTTAGAAATATACTAAAAAACTTCAGGACATTGGGCCGATGTTTTTTGAAAAAGCTTTACGACAAAAACTATTGAATCCAACACAAAAACTTCAGCTTATCGGGTGCTGAAGTTTTTAGAAATATACTAAACACTTAAGCACATTGGGGCGAAGATTTTTGAAAAAGCTTTACGACAAAAACTTTAGCATGTTTTGGTATTTTTTTTTAACTTGATACTTATCTTTTTTGCATTTTCTAGCTACTTTTTGTCATTTATCACCTATATCACCTACTTTTTGTGGCCTTATTTTTTACTATTTTTTATTGCATTTACCAACTACTAGCATTTAGCACTTATTTGTTTTGCCAACTACTTACATTCAATTTCTGTGAACAAAAAATAGTTAACAATCTCTTCAGCATTTATAGATATTAAATTGATTAGGTGCACTCTTTGGCTATATTAACAATCTCTTCACTTGAAAATTTCATAGTCATCCATAGACTTCCATCATATTTCTTTAAATTTGTATTCAAAGAAAAACAAGAAAATGTTGGCTAAGACATGCTTATTGGGTGTAGCAGGGAGTTCGTGGGGAGCAAAGATAGTGAAGGAGAAGTCGAAAATACTTCATATGTGACGGAGAGTGGCCACATCAAATACTCGAGCTCCAGGACAATTTGCTCTTTTTACTAGTTGATAAATTTAACTTTTAGGAAAAAGAGCAAATTTCCCAGGGCTCGAGTATTTGATGTGGCCACTCTCCGTCACATATGAAGTATTTTGGACTTCTCTTTCACTATCTTTGCTTCCCACGAATTCCCAGATGCACACCAGTAAACATGTCTTTGGCCAATATTTTCTTATTTTTTTCTTATGAAAGAAGACGATAGTTGCTAAAAAAATCATAGTACTAAACTTCGTCAACCTGTGTCAGGTGCTCGTATTGCCACTTTTGTGAATCAGTTGAAGACATAGTGAAGGTTCATGAAATGTGGTTAAGAAAACCAAGAAGAGCAACTAGGATATGACTATGGAGAATATGAAGACACTCTGTGAACTTTTTGAATAGAGAATAACTTGTAAACAAAAAACTAATTTTTTCTTTTTTTCCAAGGATGTAAGTGAAAACAAAATTGGATTTGTGAATATACATTATTTTGTGTGAATTATGTGACTTGGATTGATTCAAATATGTTTGTGTGTTTTTCCATGAATTTCAAGTATATTTTTGTTGAAATTTAGCATGCTAAACTTGAGCATGAAGTAACTAACTTTTGCTTTTTAAGCTGAAGTTTTGGTTAAAAGTCATAACAAAAGTGTCAAATGTACGACAAAAACTTCAGCTCATCACTAAATACACTAAAGCAGTTTCTGCGTAAGTTATTTGAAAAAGCTTTACGACAAAAATTATTGAGTCCAGGACAATAACTTCAGCTTATCAGGTGCAAAAGTTTTTGTAAATGCACTAAATAACTTCAGCACATTGGGCTGAAGTTATTGAAAAAGCTTTACGACAAAACTATTGAATCCACGATGAAAAGCTTCAGCTTATGATGTGCTGAAGTTTTTAGAAATGAACTAAATAACTTCAGCACATTGGGCTGAAGATTTTGAAAAAGCTTATGACAAAAACTTCGGCATGTTTTGGTATTTTTTTAAGTTGATACTTATCT